GGTTGGTGATGCAAAACATGTAGACGAGAAGCATCACAAGGCCGCTGATCGCGCTGAGAAGTGCGCTCAGCGCCATGACTTGCGGAACCTGACGATGAGGATTGGGCATCTCCTCAGCCACGTGAGCCGCGCAGTCGAAGCCGTTCACCGCTGTGAGACCAGGGAGTAAACCGAGGAAGAACACAACCCCTTTCGAATTCCAGCCCGTACTGTTGACGAAATCGACAAAGACAAAGTCAGCGCTTTGCTTGGGATGTACGCGGACCAGGAGCGCAATCATAACAAATAGCGAGGCGACGTTGATGTAAACCACTAGACCGTTGAGGATGTATGGATACCACTTGAACAAAGGAATATTGATCACGACGGCGAACAGCCCTGTGCCAACGTAGCCCAGGTAGTAGTGCCAGGGCTGAACAATGAAAGTGGTCCGGCATATCTCGACCAACGCAAAAATGAGCTGCGACGTGATCAGAAAGCACGCCGCTGTCCAGCAAAAGTAGCCTGCGCTGGTGAACCATCCCACAACGTAGCTCAATGGTCGTGCTCGAGGTTTGGGTGCCAAAATAGCAGTCCAGAAAATTTGACCTACACCGCAACGTTAGTTAATGGCCATCTTTTATCCATGGCAAAGGCGAAGACTTACCCGCAGAGTGAGGCATAATAGAAGCCATCTCGGCCAGCGAAACACAGACACACATGTCTAGGATGACAACCATGATATAGCCAAAGATGCTCACGGGGCTCCCACCTACCCCGATCGAAACAGCAAGGTATGTGCCGATGGCTAAGGGGGTTGAAGTTATCGAGTACGCTATTCCCAGCGTGCTCCAAAGCTTGAACGGCTTCGATCTGGGCGAGACACGTCCTGTGCTGACGTCGATGTCGGTTTCAGGCTGGAGAACCTCTCCCATCTTGAAGCCTTCGTCAAACTTGACATGGTGGCGGCGGAATCGTGTAGGCCAAAATATATGCAGCAAGATTCCGTGGTGGCACAACTTTGCTCTCGGTGGACAGTTCTCCCATCTAATACCAGATACCACTGCAATAAGGTCTCGAAATGAGGGACCCAACCCCACGCCACCCCCGCAAGCCCGTCAAAAGAGGTTTCATGAGGACGGGGCAGGTGACAGCGAATACGCTTAACCCTGGATAAGCTTAGCCTTATTCGACGACCGGGTTTCGAGCCAACAACCGACAATAAGATTGTACCAGCCGAAGACTAGTCGCTGTTTTGGGAAGCTAGATAGCAAATTGCCTATGAGCGTCTCTGTCTTATGCATAGCTTTTGATAGATGCAAACGAATCAGGGCCGATCTTCAAAAACTACCATCAAGTCAAGACTAGTCTTCTTTCGGCTAAGGTTCCGGCCGCGGTCGGGAGCTGGAAGGATCCATCACAGCGTGAGATTTCTTTGCACAATCAATCTATAATAACACTCATTGTTTAGCCAGAATCGTCCATCGTCTCCTACCAGCCACTTTTGTTACCGACACGTGATAGCACATCAACAGAATGTCCAAATCACTTCAAGGGAAAACGGCAATCGTCACAGGCGGGTCTCGGGGCATTGGCGCAGGCATTGCCGTCGAGCTTGCAAGCAGAGGTGCCAATGTGCTCATCACGTACCAGAGCGCCCGGACACAAGCCGAAGAAGTGGCAGCAGAGGTTCGCAGCCACGGCAGCGAAGCACTGATCATTCAAGCTGGAGGCAGTGACAAGACCGGGCCGACACGTATCGTTGATGCGGCCGTGAAGAAGTGGACGAAAATCGACATTGTCATCAACAACGCCGGAGCAGGTGACGACTGCTTGCTGAAGGACATGACATATGACTTGTGGGACAAACTCCTGAACTGCAACGTTCGATTCGCCACCTTCTTGGTGAAAGAATGTATGCCTCATTTCGGCCCAGCACCTCGCATTGTCAACATATCGAGCGTCATGGCTCGTATGGGTAGTGCATACGGAACCGCGTATACAGCATCCAAGGCCGCCTTAGAAGGAGTAACCAAGGTCTGGGCCGTGGAACTCGGGCAGGACTACAACGCGACTGTCAATTGCGTAAACCCCGGCCCCGTGTGCACAGACATGTGGCTTCGAGACACAGGTGCGGATGTCCTGGCTGAGTGGGATGTCAAGATGAAGGAGACCCCGGCAGCGGCCAGAATCGGAACTGTGGATGACATTGCGCAGATTGTGGGATTCTTATCCGAGGAGGGAAGCAGGTGGTCGACGGGCAGCACGGTGAATGCGAATGGAGGACTATGCTGCGTTTGATCTACCAAAAATTGTTTCTAGCAATCCAGCACTGATTGCCATGCTGCATATGATTGCTATGTACCTATATATATATATATATATATATTTGCCACAGGTTTCAAGGACCGATGATATCGCCGGAAGTTTCGTTTCATCAATGGGTTATCCTTACATTTGCAGCCATTGTTGTCGACAGTGACCGTCCTATAGTTTTACCAGCAGCGTTGTTGAGATGCTGAAGTCAAGGTCGTAGGTACCGTGTCTAGGCGAGGTGGCCAGCCGAGACGTTCTAGGGGTTTCAAGTGGTGCAACCGTATCACTTGGTGTCCATCTGCGGTGGGGCCGCTACTGACACAGAGATGCAAGCCCGACTAAAAAGCAGGGCATCCGCTCAGTTACAGCTAGCTCGTGTGCGAATGGGCCAGAATTGCCTCCCCACCTTATCTCTGAAAGCTACCTAGATAAGGGTTACGTTAATAAACCCTGCTTTCCCCGCCCTTACCTTCCTCATCTTACCAGGCAGATTTCAATCTGCTCCGCCACCAACAAACCGACCGCATCGTTTGCGACTGCCATCAAGGTTCCATGCCTCGGTCTCGCAAACCCCGTACATTCACTGTGTCGCACCCTCCACCTTACAAAGCTAGGGCTCCTGTCAGACGGACGAAAACATACACGGGGTGCTGGACATGTCGAGAGCGTGGCACGAAATGCGATGAGCAGAGACCCGAGTGCCGAAGATGCTTAAACGCCGAAATCCGCTGTGAAGGATATAGTGTGAGGCTAGTTTGGGAAGACGAGCAGAATAGCGGTCACCGTGTTCAACGACGAACGCTTATACCAAGGCAAGACCCTGGGCATCCATCTCTCACCTTCGACGAGCTTAACTCTGCGTTGGCTGAGATCGACTCGGCCGGCATCGAACCGGACATCGCTTTTGCAACAAGCAGTGGGCCATTCTCCGTTTTCCAATTCTCGCAATCAACGTCACCCAGCCATGAAGCCTCTCTTTTCCAGCGAGCTGATCAGATTAACAGTCCGACAGCAAAAGATTCCGCCACGACCAGCCCCGCAGAAGGGAGTCAACAAAGCCATGCTTATGCCTCTGCAGCCTCAGTCCTGTCCGCCTCACCGAGTACGGTTTCCAGTCTTGACGGAAGTGAAGAAGACAACAATGAGCACTCATGCATGGCTGAGGCCAGCTTTGCCGAATATGAACATCCTGATGCGGCAATGGCCATGATATCCATCAAACAAAAAGTTCAACCACATGTCACGAATTATCTATCATCCGCCTCACCAGACGAGCGTGCGCTTTTGCATTATTGGATCACTGAACTAAGCGAAATGATGATACCAACTCCACGCCGGGATAACCCCTTTCGCACTATATTTATTCCTCTGGCGCTTGCAGCATCGGACTCGACCAGAAGTTCTTCTGCAAATGTAGCCTTGCTACACGCGATATATGCTGTCTCTGCCTTCAATCAGGCCCGAATTCCAACCTCTCCTGCATATGTGGAGGGTCTTGGTACGAAACATCATGAAATCAGTCTCCGTCACCTATGGATGGCTTTATCGCAGGACGAGGCCGAGGCCGACTCGCCGCACCGGGAAGCGATTCTAGCAACCATCATTACCATGTCATCCATTGAGGTCATGATAGGAGCCTCTGCAACCTGGCGTACCCATCTGGCTGGTGGAAAGTCTTGGTTACGTTCGACCATAGCAAGCAATGCCACCCAGAGTGAAAGTTTCTGGACGTTGTGCCAAATTTTCATTTGTATCGACACTCTGGGAAATCCTGGCATCCGTGGTCTCACACCAAGCAGTATCCTTGAACCGCTTGAGACTCGCAACTGTCCCCTTACAAAAACCATACTGGATAAGCATTATTGCTTGGAGGAGCTCTTCGGGATTACGAAGTCGACGTTGGAGGCGATCATGAGAATCAAGCATTTGTCAACTTCTGCTCGTCAAGCGACAGAGGAAGAAATAAGCGACTTGGAAGTTCACATCCGAGTCAGCGACCCTGATACCCTTGTTCTGGATATAGATGGAAGCGAAGACGGTCTGGCTCGCCATCATACATGTGCCTTCTTTTGTGCGGCTGTCATCTACTTCGAACGGCGGCTCAAAAATACACCGGCTACAAAGCTCCAACGTCTCGTGCGAAGGAGCCTCGATCACCTTGAAGCCATCCGCAATCTCGAAGTCGAACGAGGCTACAAGGTGTGCGGACTGTTCTGGCCCGAGTTCGTCACAGCGTGTGAGGCCGAAGATGTGGCCGGTTTGCGCGCGCGGTCGCTGCGGATGTTTGAAAAGGGTCAATCAAAGGGCATAGGAAATATCCTATCCGCGAAGAAGGTTGTCCTTGATGTTTGGCAGAGAAGAGATTGTAGCACCTCGAATGAGGACATCTCGTGGGAGAACTCGATGGCCAAACTAGGACTCGATATCATCTTAACTTAGGTAGGGCGGATGCATGGCTCTGGGAGGGTTTGGTAAAGCTGAAGTAGCCCCTGTGGATGTGATCAATGGATGGATAGGGCGCTTGAAAGGCAGAAACTCCGATCAAATAAACAGAAGATATCTCTCGGACCGTTAGACATCGGGTATTGTCGACATCGGGGTGTAGAATTTTAGGCGCCATTCGTATGAACAGGTTTGTGAGCCAAATGTCCCGAAGACACAACAATGCAATATCCAGCGCCCGGCGATATGCTATAGTAGAACCTCTAATGAGCTCCATGCCAGACTTCTCCCGGAATGACGCCCTTGTATCCGCTGACTTCATCCAATGCCTCTTCGATGATTTTGACACCCTTCTCGAGCTGTGCATCCGTCATCACCATGGAGACGCTCATCCGTAAGCGACCCTCCAGTGCATAAAGCAACAAACCTTTGGCCAAACACAGGCCTCCGACACGGCGGGCAGTCACGCTCGCCGCGGCGTCCTCGTTTATTTTCACGCTGAAGTCAGCACCCCGAACCTCCACACTGCCCACATGTCTGTGGCGCTTCCAATGCTGTGTCAATTCCTTGAACTTGTTTCCCAGATCTTGCGCACGCTGGATCATGTCCTCCTCGTCGATAGCTCGGATCGCGGCTTCGGCAGCGGCGATCGCTAGCGGGGTGTGGGCAAAGGTTGAGCCACTTTCGTACGGCTTCAGGACCGCCATGATGTGTTTGTCGCTCAGGACAAACGAGGCGGGATATGCTCCGCCAGTGATAGATTTTCCGATGACGAGCATGTCTGGGCGGCAATCGTCTCCGAGATGGTTGAAGGAGAAGAATTTGCCGGTTTTTCCAGAGCCCATGCGGACCTCGTCTGCGATGAAGAGGATGCTGTACTTCTTGCATAGATCATACACTCCACGAGCGTAATTCACCTCTT